TATGTCTATCACTAAGTGTGGCATCTGATTATTCTTGATGAATGTATTCTATTTTATTTTTCTTTATGTACACTGAGAGTATACGCACCAAAGCAGTGGTGAGTTCCGGACGGTACTCTGCGCACAGGGCCGGGCGTCCTAGATGGGCACGCATGCACACGCCACCGCCCTGCGACACCTAGCTGCTCAGCAGAGGTCGTGCAGGCGCTACAAGCTGTGTGCGCGTGCACAATGGGCCAGTTGCATTATAAACAGCCATGGAACATGGGCTGCTGGGTCAAACAAGCCACCGTATCGGTACGGTGGCCACTGCTCCTGGCTGCTACTGGTACGGCCGTACTGGGCCGTACCTCCCAGAATCCACCACTGCACCAAAGGCAAATTCCTTGTGTGTCCAATCACATGTGACTTATAAAGACTATTCTATTCTATTCTATTCTATCAGCTGTTTTCAAAAATTGGGATTATCCTCAGTTTATCTCCTTTTGGGGAAGCCCTTATTTTTACACTGCCATATTTGTGATTAAAAACGGATTCTTATATAGTAAGGCCAATGGCAGCAGCTGATATCTTGGAAAATTATGCCCCCCCCCCCCAACCTGGCACTCTGAAAATACCTGGTGGCTGGATCTAGTTGCTCTTTTCATTTTGCACAGCAGTACTTTGAGGACAGCAAGCCATCTCAAATAAAAGTCTTTTAATTAAGTCCTGGAATTCAACATATGACATAACATACAATGCATATACCAGGTTATACCAGAGGACCTGTGTCCCAGGATGATCCAGCAACAATTACAGATACATTAATGTTTAGATGGAGACCGTCCAAAGCAACTTAAATAGCAGTATTGTATAAAATTGAGGACAAATATATAGAATTTTCCATTCTTTCCTACCATCCTTTCTCTTATTTTCTTTAATGATCCTGGCATTTTTCTGATAGCTCATCAATGAAGGGAGCGTCTTGCTGACATTTGCCTTTTTTGTCATTCTTCTTTGGAAAACTGACCTCCAATACAACTGTGCTATGTAGAGCTTTTGGCAGCTAGCAGTCACAACATTGTATTTTATTCTTGGAAGCCTTCTGGAAACAGTATGTGAAGCTCAGATTAAGGCGTTTATACTTTACTAAATTATCATTTCACTTCAGTTGCAAGAGTTGAGAAATGTGGTTCTACAGATGTCCCTGAATTGCAGTTTTCAGCATTCTTCAGAACTGCCCCTGACATCCCTGGGAATTGTAGTTCAGCAACAGAGGACAGCAAGGAACTTCCATTGTTCTAATACAGTGGTTCCCAAACTTGGCAACTTTAAGACTTGTGGACTTCAACTCCCAGAATTCTCCAGCCAGCTCTGCTGAGTGGCTGGAGAATTCTGGGAGTTGAAGTCCACAAGTCTTAAAGTTGCCAAGTTTGGGAACCACTGTTCTAATACATAGTTTCTTAAACTTAGCAACTTTAAGATGTGTGAACTACAACTTTACAAAATGTATGTATTGGTACCTAGTGGCATCATATGATAATAAGTTTGCTCAAACGCATAGGTATGTTTTAAGGATTATGCCCTCATGTCGCTCAGCTCTTAAGAATATGGATAACACCAATGAATTTTTACTTTGTAATAGTATGATTTCATGCAAGTGATTCTAGTGCTGTCAAATTCTTTGAAGTAACCAATCCAGAAGTGTTGTATTAAAGCTCACATCTATGCTATGGGAAATGTAATCTAGTAGGCAGAAGGCTAAATTTCAGTTTGCATAAACTATTTATATATGGGATCTGAAGATACCAAATGTAAAGCCCAGCGTATTAGTGTGCAAAGATCAGACTGAGCTGATATATCTGGTGAGCTCTTGATGATTTTGTTGTTCCAGCCTAATTCTTCCAAGATTTGAAGTGAGGTTTAATGTGAGAGATATATTGAGTGGGAGCTGCCCAGAGTTGGTTATCAGATGGATAGCTATATAAATATTTTAAATAAATAGATAGATATTTATATCTATTTATATCTATAAATAGATATCCAAATAGATAAATATTTTGAACTTTTATCTACTCTTCCAGAATCTCAATTCTTTCACACTAATGAAAATTCAATTGTCACTAAAATGTTTAACATTTACTTTCAGATATTGATGTGATATTTATTCTCAGTCCAGGTTTTGAGGATGTGAATGTAAATGGAAAAGTACAGAATAAGTAAGAGCAGCCTTAGGTAACGCTGAAAATGTTTAAGGGAGATTTAGGGTTTTTTTTTAATCTCTCGGAAAGTACAAACATTTGATATCTCAACCTCAATCTCTGAAGTCAGGATTTCTAAACTTCTCACTTCACCTCACAAGCTTTCTGCAGTACCAGGGATAATATTTGAAGCATTAAGATCATATGTATATTTTTCAATCATCTGCAGGGATTTCCTAGAATTAGGTTATCAACACTTATTTCAGAGTAACGCCTAGCGTTCATGGTTCACAACATGAGAGATGGCCACAG